GGTAACGGAGGACACCCAAACGTGTGTTACCTTGACCCACTATTCTTCACTCTTCTTCGTTACATTGCCATGAAATGATGCTTGCGGGCCGAAAGGGTTGTAAAAGAAGCTAACACAAATGGCAATCGTATTAATGCTGGAACGTTGAGGTAGCGCAAAGAAGCTTGAAATGTAACGCGCTTGCGTTGTGATCTATGTGAACTTCTTTGCTTATCCAGGTTTGCCATGTATTGCTATGACTGTCCAAGGCCTGCAACCGCCCAAACGTGTGACTACCTGATACACACTTCACTCAAAGCCACCAAGTGCATTTCATTTCTCGTAATTGTCGACCCCATGCTTCGTTAGCCTTTCATATTGCGGTATTTACAAAGACATGCAACTAAGAGCACAGCACTTGGTTCACCACTTTCGGTAGAAACCAGGCACAGCGAAAACTTTGATCGGCTAGAATTTTATGCAGTAGACTTTGCTATGTGAAGCCCGAAAATGACCTGAGCGACGCAATTATTCAAGTGCCTACTCCGCCCGTGGCTGTGTAATGAGCACTGTGCTCATGTTGCTGCACATACCTATCGCAAAACGTGTTGCTGAGCATGCCTTTCAAAGCCTATCTCGCCTCAGAAGCCCAAACGTGCAAAGCTTTGTCCATGAATAGTATTTACAGGTTGTCATCAGCGGGACATAGCGGAATATGCGGCTCCTTTCATTTGACCAGCAGCCGCAGTAACAACTGCAAAAAGTCGCTGACAAAAGAAAAAAACACTCCAGATTTCAGATGGAATCTTGTTTTTTTTATCTACTAACCGCCTCAGAGACACTGAAATAGTATAGAAATAAATGCGCTTAACGGTCTTCCCCTCCCCATCCCTTGTTATCTCCACAGGATCCCTTTACTGTAAGCCACATCATCAAGTGTATTGATATGCACACTCTTAGGCTGCATCCATGAACTACTGCAGCTATGAACTCCCGTGCAAATCCATAAGCTGCATCCATGAACTGCCCTATGATTCTAAGCTGCATCTATAAACTACTACATCCCTCACCTCCTCGTCTGATGTGTCCCATTGCATGAGCAGACGACGCTCCCTGTCGGTTCTGGAGGCCGCGGCCGAGCCCAGCAGACTCGAGGGAGGCTGATATCATCGGCTGCATTTGGACAAACATGCACCACTGCCGGCCGCCCCAGTGCACCCCGGGACCTGGAGGAGCGCTGGCTGCAGACCAGCAGGGCAACATCCGGCAGGGGACGCCCACCAGCTGGCTGCAGATCAGCAGGGGACAATACTCTCCCAGTAGGTGCCCACCAGCTGGCTACAGACCAGAGAGAACAACACCCGACTAGGGAACGCTCACCAGCTAGCTGCAGATCAGCAGGGGACAACAGCCGGCCAGGGGCGCCCACCAGCTGGCTGCAGACCAGCAGGGACAACACCGGCCAGGGGACGCCCACGAGCCAGCTGCAGACGCAGGGGACAACACCCGGCCAGGGGACGCCCACGAGCCAGCTGCAGATCAGCAGGGGACAACATCTGGCCAGGGGACGTCCACCAACAGACGTGCCGACGCGTCTAGCCGGCGGGCTGAAGACGGTCATGCTTTGATCATGCCGTCCGTCTGTTGGGCTCAGAGAGCCCGTGTGGGCCCCTGATTCAGCTGACCCACTCCGCCAGCTGCCTTATAGAGCGGTGCCCGCCAGCTGAGCCGTACTAATCAGCTGAGCTAGCGCATAGCGAGCGAAATATGGAATGGTGAGGAGGTGTCCAGCAACGAAACGCATTATTTTATCTAGCTATGGTTTTGGTTTTCGTATTTCTATTTACGATGTCTAGCTGTAGTAACATGATTGAAAAGCCAGCATTTGTTCCGTGCTCCTCATCGCACGGAGACATCTATCACGGCTCTTTTGTCATCGCATGTGTGCATGTCTTAACCCGCTTCTGATCCCCTCTCTGATTCTAACATCAACCCAAGGCCCTACACCTACTCTTGGTCCCGGTTATTGCTGATCTACTCCTACCCAACGAGTGCTGTTCTTGAATATGATCTCAGCTCCCATTCCTGGCCTCTGAGTCTAAACTTTATCTCAGCATCCCTGGACCATGTTCGCCTTCGGGTTCCCAGTATCCTCTCAGACTCCGGCATCTGCATACGGCCCTTGTATCTACACTGATCCTAGTGCTTGACAGAAGCCCCAGTATCGCCCACTCGGACCAGTGCTCCACGCAGCCCCGGCATCTACCCCTGGTCCCAGTGTCTACCACGGTCCCGGCATCTATCCCAATCCCGGCAACGCTCGCGGTGCCAGTATGTCCGCCGGTCCCAGCATGTCCCAGTATCTCCTGCGGGGCTAGTATCTCACGCGCGCTAGTATGTTTGCAGCGCCAATATGTCCCACGGTCCCAGTATGTCCCGCGGCGCCAGCATGGCCCGCGGCGGCAGTTTGTCCCGCGGTGCCAGCATGTCCTGCGGTCCCAGTATGTTCCGCGGTGCCAGTATGCCGCGCTGTGCCAGTATGTCCCGCGGTGCCAGTATGTCGCGGCCGCGAGTATGTTCCGCGGTCCAGTATGTCCCGCGGTGCCAGTATGTCCCGCGGAGCTAGTACGCCCCGCGGTTGCCACCATGTCCCGCGGTGCCACCATGTCCCGCGGCGACGATATGTCCCGCGGTGCCAGTATGTCCCGCGGCGCCAGTATGTCCGCGGCGCCAGTATGTCCCGCGGCGCCAGTATGTCCCGCGGCGCCAGTATGTCCCGCGGCGCCAGTATGTCCCGCGGCGCCAGTATGTCCCGCGCCGCCAGTATGTCCCGCGGC